AGTTGGTTGCTTTAACATTTGACCAGGATTACTTCGATTGGCATGGCATTTTGAATTGATTTACGGCGTCAGCTTCAAACAACAATTTCACCTTTTTTTCCTATTGTATTCAAACCTCTTCTGCTTGCCGCTGCTGCTGCTGCTGCTGTTGTTGTTGTTGTTGTTGTTGTTGTTGTTTTTGCTAGCTCGAGTGCACGAATCAATGAATGAACAAATGTGCGATTGAGTGAGTGACTGACTGACTGAAGCAAACAAACAACTGCGAATATGCATGAGTATCTGTGTGTGAGTGTATATGTATATCTGTGTGTGTTTGCTTGGGTCTGTGAGTGTGTGTATAAGCCCAGTTAAAAGGCAGCGCGTCAGCAGTCACTTGTGCGAATATTTCCGCAGGTGTTGAGTGGCATTTTATAGGATTGTTGTTGTTGTTGCTGCCGCCGCTGCTGTTGTCTATGCGGGAATCGTGACATGCAGCTTGACTTGGCACTTGGCCATAGAGCACACCACAAATCCAAGAGCCGCGCTACCTGCTGACGTCACACTCTCAACTCGGTGTTATTTCTATTTATATAGTATTTGTTTACGACTTCCACGGCGGCAAATCAATTAGCCAGGCCCAAAACGTACGCAGTCAAAAGGCCAAATTATAAATTGCAACTGCAACAGTTGCTCCAAACGACGTACAAATTTAATTAAAATCGTTTTGAATGCCGATTAAAATCTTGAATGAAAATTGCTCAATTGTTGCAGCTTGCGACATATTCGACTCGATGCCGATGCCGATGCCGATGCTGCTGCTGCTGCTGCTGCTGCTGCTGCTGTTGGCTGAACGTCGTTTATCTTCCGCTTGGCATCAGCTGGCAAAGGGGCACCACAACAACAACAACATCACCCTAGCTTGGGCTTATATATCTCTGCTAATGAATTACAAAAACAAAATCGTTTTTTTTTTCCCTCTATTTTTTTGGTAATATATTCATAATCGTAAACCAGTTGGCAACAAAAGCCATTCAATCAACAGCACGAAAAGCGGGCGGGCCTCATGGAAGTTGGGGCTGCTGTCGATGCTGTTGGTGGCTGCTGCTGTTGCTGGTATTTGTTGTTGTTGTATTTAGTGCTGCAGCTAAGGCTACTGATTTAATAACTTGTAGGCATTAAATAAATAAGTTTTCACAAAACCCATCCAAAGACAGTTTATCAAAATGTGACGAGGGCAGATCAAAAAACAATTTTTTTGTAATATTAAAAATTATGTTAATTTTAGTGTGGCTTACAAACATTTTTATGCTTTGGTAAACTATTAAAAAATTGTTATATATGTATGTGTACATGTATGTATGTATATATTATTTTGTATAGTACTGTTATTTATTTTTAGATATTTATATTTTTATCTTTTGCCCATTAGAGAGAATAGAGAATTTAAATATATTAAATTATATTTTAAAAATGAATGGAATTCTATAATATTAAAATAAGTAGGAGTGCTTTCATCTGGACTTCCCGACTATAAAATACCCTAAACCTATCATAGTAAAGCTTCTTACATGAATGAACAAAATTGAAAGTTTCTAAGTATCGCATATAAACGCTTTTCTTAATAAATAACTTATTTATTTACATATTCATATCCCGATTCATATTCATACTCATATTCTTAGTGTCATCTCACCTGTCAGTGTCACATTGACGTGCATCAGTCCGATGTGGGTGCCGATGCGGGCGGGCAGTTTCTCGCGTGAGAATGCTTTATATGGTGCAATGATTGTTGCATGTGCCACATGCCACGCCGAGCCCAGACGGGTAACTGCAAGTGACAAAGAAGAAGAAGAAGAAGCAGCAAATGAATATGGAATTAACATAGCAAACGACACGGCAGACAGGTAAATACTCACTCAGTATGACTAGACCCACAAAGAGACTCAGTGTGACCGTCGAGAATGTTGTGAACTTCTGTGAATATGAAAACGAGATGTCGATTATAATGAGATGCTCAATTTACACGTGTGTGTGCGTGTGTATGTGTATGCGTGCTGTAAGTGAAACTGTAATTACATAAGACGTAAGCGTTTTAAAGCCAGTTATGGCCAACGACTCTGCCAATTGGTTGACTAATTGAATAAGCCAGCCACTCAATTGGCCAAACGAGCTGAGCGTTTGGAGGAAAGTAGAACGCAGCGGCGTTCGAGCAGCGTGAAAGAAAAGGGCGCGCCGCGCAAACAGGTTAAAGACTTGTATCTGACATCTATTTGAAAACGTGCCGACGATTATGATTACAGCCGTCACTCTTAAATACGAAACGTAGACAAGACGGCAGCAGCGTGAGAACTACGTGTCTCAGCCATAACCCAGCCCAGCCCAGCCCAGCCCAGCTCAGTCCAGCTCAGTCCAGCTCAGCCCACTCCAAGCTATCATTAAGTTAATTAAAAAACGTAAGTGATACACAAAGAACAGAACTGGTTCTTTGGCATTGTCATACTAAAGTCAAGTCAAGTCCTTGACATGCCTATAAACTATTTCGAGGAATTAGAATAAAAACCAAGCTTTATTTGAGTTCTAAGACAAAAACTAGCAAAGGCAAATCTCTTAACAACCTTTTTCCTGTACAGCTCGTTTGAATTCTATTCAAAGTTTAAAGTTCAACCTATGGCAATATGTTGAAAATGCTTTGCCTAGGTTTTATAGAGCAGTTCCAGTCAATGAATGAAACACGTTTGCACACTCACCTGTTTACGCACTCCCGGAAATATGACAAGAAATGCCACATAGAATGTGGCGAAGAGCACTGAGACAGCCACAATGGAGACATCGCCCGTGACGGGTGTTCGATTTGAGAATGAATAGAGCGTTGGACCGCCATCGTCTCGAAATGCGTCGAACCAGCCCTTCATGCTGGATATATTTATCCTTTATGCAGCTGGTGTCTAAAAAAAAATTATAAAAATTATTTAAATAAAATATACAACAAATTATTAAATTATTTGCAAAATTGTGTTGAATGTTTTGCAACATCTTGTAATTATTAAATGTGAGCTCAAGAGTCAATTAAAATGCGGATTTGCATATCTCGTGTGCGTGCTTCAAGCAGCGATGCTTAATTAAGCCAAGACCAAAAACTAAAGCCACAGTCAAACACATCGTGGGCAGATACGACTTATTACTATAAGCAACC